CACCCCCCATCCCCACCCCACCCATCTGCACAGGCCCAGGCCCTGCCAGACCCATCAAACTACTTCCAAGTTGTCATTTCCAGACCACTATCTGGAATGAATGAACATTCTGCTTATACTGTTCCTACCCCACTCGCCCATCTGCTGATTACTCACACATCCTTCATCCGCCAGTCAAATACCTTCTCGAGGAGGCTTGCTTTCCCCAGTATCTCTGGACCGTTAAGCTCTTTCTTCTCTAGCAGTCATCACCTTTTCCAGAACACGATTGTTTTTTTACACAGCTGGCCAGGCCATCTTGTACAGTTGTGCAGCCTTTCACTGCACAAGGTCATCCTGTCCAGTGGAAAAGTGGAGGCGGAAATCCAATTTGCACTTTGTTTGCCAAGTCCCTGGTGCACTCCTCTCCTCTCCACTGGCAGGGGGCGCCTTTTGTAATTCACCCAAAGGCACAGCTGGTGGTGATCCTGCCTCTCTCCCCACTAAGGTACTCAGCACCCATCGGACACTGACAGAGTAGAAACTCCTGTAAGGCTCCTTGAACGAGTGAGAAAAGAAAGGATTGTTTCTACAGGACTCGAGAAAGGCAAGAGTTTGGAGGCAGAGTTCTCCTGTGTCAGTGTAGAGGAGCGTGCTTCGGTTTGCTCGGTCTTATGCTGGCAGATCAAGTGATTCTTAGATGTCTTCTTGATTATAGGGGAGAAGCTGGGCGTGTGAATCCACAGGTGGGCATCAGAGGTGGGCGCCAACTGGTCATGGGCCTGCTTCACTGGTTAGGTCAGGGCACAGGTTTACAAGCCTAATCATGATTTGCTGGGGAGCTAAGGGTGCAAGAATCTTGAAAGTAAGGCCATAAAGAGCTTTGCGCATTAACATGTGCTAATAAATTGGATCGAAGTGCCATGTCATATACACGAACTTCAGTCATCCTTAAGTGGCATTTCACAGAATTAAATAAGAAAATGGGAAAGGAAGGCTTTGAGCGATTTATTTAGGTTCTCCAATAAGGTCAGCATTCACGATCACAAGTCACATGTTAAAAACTCAGTCTTCACATTGGGGCAATTTGCAAGCTCAACTGGCTGCAAGGTTCTTACAAATGCTCCAAATTTGTATGTAGTTAAACACATCTAACAATTTGTGGGGCAATCTGGAGATACCTTTTAAAGCTACAATCAACATATGGGTCATCCCACAAAAATGTATAAAATTGTGATATAAAATAACATACTTGTAAATGTCAAAGAACTTGCCAGTTATATGAAATCCTGGAATATCTAGGATTTATAACATATGCTAATTTTAAAGAGCATGCCAGCTGTCCCACATTATGGGAAAGGAAACTTAGGACCAGAGGCTTGTCAAGGGTCACAGGGGTTATGTAGGGGCACAGCCAGGACGAGCTCTCAGATCTCCTGGCTCTTAATCCAGTGCTCTGTATATTCAAGTACTTGTAAGAACAGTCGCCCGTGTCTTCCACCCTTGGCTTCCATTGGGAAATCTTGAAGGTATAGACTATAATTTCTCAGGGAAAGGGAAGATTCTTAGCATCACACACAATGCCCTGTGTGAAGTAGGCATGTGATAACTATTTGCTGAATGCAGGAATGCATGAATAATCCAGTTGATAGCTTACTTATTTAAAGTAATTATTTGATAAGGCACAAACCAAAGTCCTTTGGAGTTCATTATGGTGGAATTTGGCCTCTGTGTTTGTGTTCCTTAAGTGTAATAAAAAGTATTGGATATACTTTATGGAAGAGATGGGTAGAAATTGTTTGCTTTAAAAGAAGCCAGAACTCTTCACAGTAAGGCATCACCAAAAAACTCAGGATTTAAAATCAACAGGTCTGCTCCCAAACTGGCTTTGATTCTGCAAGTCTTTTTTTTTTTTAAGTTTTTATTGATTTCAGAGAGAGGAAGGGATAGGGAGGGGGAGATAGAGAGAGAGAGAGAGTTAGAAACATCAGTGATGGGAGAGTCATTGATCGGCTGCCTCCTGCACGCCCCCCACTGGGGATCGAGCCCACAACCCGGGCATGTGCCCTGACCGGGAATTGAACCGCGATCTCCTGGTTCATGGGTTGACGCTCAATCCCTGAGGCACGCCTGCCTGGTGATTCTGC